GAGGCTGTGAGGCCGGCTTTCTTGTTCATCAAGGTTCCACGTCGTGGTCACTCAATGTAGACACGTCTTTCCACCGCATTCGTTGGCGATGCCTTGCGTCATCTCCAAATGCTCCCGCACTTTTGTTGTGTAGCTTTTATGCACCGCACGTGGGTGTGCCGCTACCCGCAGGCGTCGATTTCTGGAGTAGGTTCCGTGCCTCCATTCAGGACGATCAGGACGCTTTGCGCCGTCACCCTCATGCAAATTTGGTGCTTGCAGGTGATTGCAACGTACATCTTGCGGAAGTTATGGGCCCCGAGCGTGAGAGGTTTAATGAAGCATAATGAACCCCAGCTTCGTGATTTGATACGCGCCCTTTGTCATGATTTTAGTCTTCGCATTGCCAGGCGTCTCTACGCATAGGTCCGGCTCATGCATTGACATTGTTCTTGTTTCACGTTCGCTTGATGTTGTTGACATTGTCGTGCATGATGGGGACACGTGCGGTTGTCAACGTGATTCGTGTCACCCGATTGTGGGAAGCGATCACAAACTCATCACCTTCAAAATTGCTGTGTCTCCGGAGGTGGGTGATGTTGTTCCTAAGCCCTGGCCGCGTGTGCGGAACTGGCATTCAGTCGTCCAAGATTTGCATCCGCAACTGTTGCAATGGGCATCCAAGCTTGTGCATTTGCGTCAGGGTCAGCCCCTCCCCCTTCCTGAAAGGCGTGGCGCGCTGGACCTGCTGTATGCTGAATTTGTCGCTATGGTTTGGCAAGCCGCAGAACCCCACGCTTCTCGTCGTTCTGGTGGCAACCGGCGTCCGCAGCCGGATTGGTGGGATGACGCTTGCTACGAACTCCTGACACCAACCGGATACGGACACGCCTTCTTGAGCAGCTTGCGGTTGCGATTGCGCGCGCCAATGGCAGAGCCGTGCGGCGTAGGAGAGGCGTCACAGGCACGTCGGCCTCCCACCTTGCCGCCCGTGCCGACCTCGCCGTCAGCCCGTGAGTGGGAGCGGCATGGGTGATTAGTTCTTGACTGGCTGGGGCTTGACGCCACGGTGCTGGGCTGGAAGCAGTTGTCAGCGGTACGTGTTCCTCGGTGTCTTATCAGCATCTCCTCCTTCCCCCCGTGGCCGAGCTAGCAGAGTTGTCCTGAAGGGACTTGCGTCGCTCCGGCCGACGCCTTGTGAGCCCCGACGGGCTTTGCTCGGGCAGGGTGGCCGGAGGCCCCAAGCTTGCTCCAGCTTTTGTTGAGCTCGGTTGGGGGGGTTTTTATTCCACGGGCCCCAAGGGACACGGTTTTCCCCCTCAACTGCTTTGCTTTTTCACCTTCTCACGTGGCTCCTCAGCCAATGGTTGTTACTTCGTTCTGCAGGCCGGCACCTTGGCAGCGGCGCTTTCGCGTCGGTGTGGGAGTTGCAACTCCTTGTTGCTCGCAATGCAGCTTGGCGACAGTGGCGACGTGAGCAGACGCCCAGTGCCCGTGAAACCTTTCGCCAGAAACGTCTGGAGTTTCATCATCTGGTTCGTCGCAGGAAATCGTCCTTTTGGTCTTCCTGGCTCAGTAGGCAAGAAGGTCTGTGACGCTCCAATCCGCGGTTGGCTGCTCGTAATGTGCGTGCGCAGATGGTTGGCTGCTCGTAATGTGCGTGCGCAGATGGGCCGGAGTCAGAGTGGCCTGCCGCGTTCGATGAGATCGGCGGGCCATCGATTGGAGGGTGACCAATGTCTCGCCGCATGGCGTGATCACTTTCGCAATGTGCCATCTGTTTGCGATGGCCGGCTCCGGGCTGACGTGCCAACTGATTCTGCTTCGGCTGTATCATCTTCAGACATCACGTCCCGTGCTGCGGTTCTGAGGCGGGATATGCCCTTTCTGTCCGGCCCTTTGGATTTCCCGCTTAGCGCTGCCGAACTGCAGCATGTTCTGTCTCAGCTTCCGTCTCATCGAGCCCCAGGCCCGGATGGACTGCCTTATGAGTTTTTTGCTGTCAAGGATGATGTCCTTTCTTCGGCTCTTTTGACTTTTTTTCGAATTGGTGCGTCATTGGGCAGTTGTCCCGTCGATTTGGCGTTCAGCCCGTGTGAGCCCGCTACACAAAAGCGGCGCTGCTGACGATTTCAATAATTATCGTCCCATCAGGCTTCTTTGTTGCAGCCTCAAAATCTTTGAGCGCTTGTTGCTGGCGCGGCTGCTTCCCAGGGTTGACCCACAACTCGATGGGTTTAGTCTGGTTCTGCGCGGCCCTCAGAAGTAGGAGCGCTTCCTTCTGTTTGGCATGCATTGTTTGTTGAGCTGCTTGCTGAGCCTCGCACGCTCGGCGATGAGTGTCAAGCCGGGTTTCGCTGGGGGGCCGAGGAGCACATTGGCGGAGACGCTCAGGCTGCATTCCAGGAAGCGTACCTTTTGTGCCTTCGTGGATGTACGCAAAGCTTTTGATGTTGCGTGGAGGGATGCGGTTTTAATTAGACTTGCGGAGACCGGTGTTGGTGGTTCGATGTGGTCGGATGTGGTCGGTACTTGCAGACCTCCTGAGTGAAACCACAGCTCGCGTCCGTGTGAATGGTCAGACTTCGCAGCCTTGGACAGAAACGGCCGGGGTGCGTCAAGGGAGCGTCCTAGGTCCACTGCTCTTCAACATCTTGTTCAATGGCATTGCCGATGCTGTGCGTGCAGTATGTCCGGGCGTTGCGTTGGGCCCTGGCCCGAGCGCCCCTCGCGTGACACTTCTTCTGTACGCTGATGATCTGGTAATCTTGGCAGATGATGCAGCGACCTTGCAACGTGCCTTAGATGCTATCGGCGACTGGGGTTCACGGTGGCGTTTCTCTTTTGGGATTGGTCCCGATAAAACAGCTGTGATGGTTGTTGGGTCCAGGCTCCTGAACTTCCACTTTTCCGTGCAGGGTTGTGCCGTCCCGTGCGTGCCACACTACACCTACTTAGGTGTTACATTCGCAGCCTCTCGGAAATGGCGTAAACATGAGAGTCGGCTCATTGCTAAAGGTACTCGCCGCTTTTACCAGTTTCTGGGTTGGGCCGAGAATCGCCAGCTCCACACAGGATTCCGCAATGCTCTATTCCAAACGTATGTTTTGCCTTCCATGCTGTATGGCACTCAGTTCCTTGATTCAGCGGCGGCGATTGCTCGCTTGGACAAGGTCATGCGCCAGTGGGGGAGACGCTTGCTGCAATGGCCCAGCGGTGCACCGGGGGCGGCAGTCCTTGGTGAGCTTGGCTGGGCACCCTTTCTGTTTCAGGTTAAACGCCTGCAGTTTGGTTTCTTTGGCAGACTCTCTGCCACACGCACGCGCGACGTCCGCAGAGGCTTGGCAGCACGCGTCTTCAATTTTGCCCTGAGTCGACCAGGCTCTTGGGCATTTGAGACCGCCCAGGCCTTACATCAGGATGGGATTATGTCTCCGGGATCGTACGGGGTGTTCCCGGGGTCGGGTATTCGACATGTCTGGCAGTGGACTAGGCATCAGGTTGTGCAGACCTTGCAGCAACGTGCCCATGCAAGTTACCGCTCAGAGCTGCTGGCAGTACCTTCGCTGGCCACTTATACTGTTTATCAGCCTCGACTGCATTGCCTTGTCAGCATACACTCCTCCAGGCTCCCCACCTCCGCAGTCCGAGAGTGGACCCTGGCCCGGTGTGGCCATCACCCATTTACGGATGGTAGGAGCGCCCGTCATTCGCACAGGACGGACACTCTGTGCCTTTGCGGTGACCAGTGCAACCTGCTTCACGCAATTCGAGCTTGTCCATTGCTGGCCTTGCAACGGCGCCACTGGCTCACTCGTCTGGGACTACAGCGCGTTCCCCAGTTTGGAGATGATGAGCTGCTTCGCTGGATCTTTGACTCCAGCTTGGTTCTGAACAATCGTTCATCTGTCAATGCTCATGTCCACTATGTGGCAGCCATCTGCCAGATTGCTCGCAACATGTTGGCGGGCTTGCAGCTATGAGCGTAGTACTGGATTGTTCGGCGGCCAATGTGCCTGGCCGTTTGTAGTGTATATATGTACTGACCGTAAACGGTTGTTCGAGGACAGACTTTCTTGGGAACATAAGCTTTTCGCTGCCCTAAGCCCGTGAGCCAATTGAGCTTGCAGTCGCCCAGCGTGGGTTTGGTCTGGTTCTGCGCGGCCCTCAGAAGTAGGAGCTCTTCCTTCTGTTTTGGCATGCCTTCTTCTAAGCTTGAAGGCGATGATGCCGTTAAACTGTTACAAGCGAAGCTGTTGCAGACCTCGCTGTGGTCGGTGTCGCTTTGTTTGCACCGGGGTTCCGGATCTCTGAATTCGCGCACAGATCCCTGTGGCTCCTTGGCGGCCCGCAGGAAGTGACCGCAGCTTTTACGAAGCGGTAGTGTGTTTTGTGCCTCAATCAATGCCACATGTGCTTCATACATGCCGCTTCGTGCAGCCGCAATTGAGCATCGAGGGTGAGTGCGTGTTTTCGCAGCGCCCAATGTATTAGCTAGCATGCAACAGTTAACCATTAAAACAAAACTACTGCCCTGCAATCATACATGTCGCATGTGATGACGTTTTGGTAAGCTCGGGACGGCCATACGATGACAAAAGTGTGAGAGCAAATGCACGGCATATCACGGCATATAGGTATGTAGCAACCACCCTGCTATGGCCTTGGCCGTGGCTGTGAGGCTTGCAGATGGGGAGGCCCGACGGGAAACCTTCACATGCGCATTGTGTGTGTGTGTGTGCACGTGCACGTGAGTGCGTGAGTGCGTGCATGTGTGCCCGTGCGTAAGCATGTGCGTGTAAGTGAAAGTGAGCATGTGCGTGTGCGTGATGTGGGCATGTGCTCGTGCACCTTCTTGTGCGTGTTTGCGCGTGTTCGTGTGCGTGCATGATAGGTCGTTTCACGTGATGCATGATGGCTCTTGACTTTGAGCCATGAGCATGCAAGCGCTTGCATGCGGCAAACCAAACAAAACAAATGTTGGACACACTCGGTCCGATGTCTTTAGCAACTAGCCACCCATGGCGCTTTCGAGCCATGGCATTGGTGATGTGGGGGCCAATTCCGATATCATGCATGCGAATGCGCCCGAGGATGAAGGCACGAGTTGGATTTCTCGCAAGTATTGTGGAGAGGTCGCTGTTGTTTCCAAGGTCCAACGCTTAGGAAAAAACGGTCGTCTTCACCGAAGCCAAAGACACCTCTGATCGTTGCAGAAAACTCAGGCAATGTACAGGCAGGGCGTTTCCATCCTGACGTGTGATGTTGCTTGGTTGTACGTTGTGAAAAGGTGCGAACTACGCCACAGGGCACGAAATTTAACCGCCTTCCAAAGCTCGGAGGCAGGGTTTTTATTTGATGATGTCATGACGTGGACTGGTGCTTGGCGTGACGAGGGCTTTCGTCAGACATACTGACACTCTATGGCGCGGCCCCCGGATGTGCGTCTGAAGATTTGCATGTTAGCATGAGCTTGCTCCGGCGACACAGGGAACACCAGATATCTTTTAGCAACTACAAGTAGTAGTCGAGGTGCATCAGCTGGATGCATATTGGTTTTTGTTTTTTTGGGCGTTTCTCGCATGCAGTTGGCTTTGGTGACCGGATAATGAGTGGATTTGTGTTGACATGCCGTGTGCATCGTGTCAGGATATGTGGCTTATTGCGTGTGTGGTTGACATACTGGTTGACATATTGGTTGACATTTTCCAGGAATGGCTCCGACGTGACATACCAGCGGGCAAGTTTGAGAAGATCGACAAAACGTTGATCGACATTGACGACTTCTGTGTGCATGAGCTAGGCATTTGGGAACACTGACCCGGGTGACATGCGAATGGCACGTTTGCACGTTCCCAATGTCGTTTCAGCCCAGAGCTTGCAGCATCCTGTGTTTACAGCGTGTACAGGTTTGGTTTCGCAGGCCCATATCCGAAATGCCATCCTCGTTTTGGTCATCATGTGGTTCTTGAACATGGGATTGAACGATGGGTCAAGACGCTGGGCTGTGAGATGGGGGTCGACAAGATGGTACGGATTCGGCAGGGCTGCTGACAAGGAACTCGGATGTTTCGCGCGGCGGTCCATACCCACCTGGCCATCCCGAAAATCCGGTGATGTTGGCTGCACTGAGGATGATTGTGCGACGTGCATGTGATTCACTTGTTTCTTCATTTCATTTTATTTCCACGAAGCATCAGCCAAGGAGTGGCTATCCAAGTCCACCGTTCTTCTGAAACAGGCCCCGGGAAACAAATTCGGAGAGCCCCATGGCGACCAAATGTCGCGGAAAAACAATCTAAACTGTCATGATTGATGACTCCGGGAGTCCTGTTGGCTTGAGTGGTCCCGTCGCATGTCCCAAGCAGTGAGGTTCCAATCCCACGTGCACTTAGTTCTGCTTCCGGCGTTGTGCGTGCATCTTGCTGCATTGGGTCGTGTTTTAGGGCAAGAGCGTTTGACCCCAAAAGCTTGCTTTGCTGCGCACCATTACCTTGTGCGGTTTCCAAGGATGCTGGCGTCGAAACAAAGCGTATGGTTTTACATCCATGAGCAGCCATCACGTGCGGTTACACCCGTGGTCGAGCAGCAGGCCGAATGTTTCTCACGATAAGCTTGTATGCACCAGAGGAATCATGCTGGCTGCGGGGCTTGTGGAGGACGCGTTCTGGTTTCCTATCCTTGGTTCAGGCTGGGGTGATTTGCAGAACGCACCTCACTTGCTGTTCCAGCTTGGAAAGTGCAACTGACTGGGCAGGAGTATTGTTCGGCTTATTTGCAATTGTGAAACTTTTGGGCGGCTTGGTTGCAAGGGTACCTGTTTCTTTTCCTTGGTGGGAGCGCAACGAGTGACTCCTGATCACTTTTGTTTCGGTCTTGGCGGGGTTTTGGGGTGGTTTGGTTTGGGGGGGGTTTAAATTACGACCAGAACGACACAGTAATAAGGTCATGATTGGCTGAAGCAAGCAATCGCCATCATCATGGTGTGTGTTTGTGCACTCGGCGTGGCGTCGAACATCGATGCCATTGGGCACCTTGTCGGAAAGAATCACAGCCCCTGAGCTGCAAAAAACTGCAGGTCCGATTTGGCTTGGCCCCAATGCCAGTACCATGTCAGCCTGACGTTCCTAGGTGCTGCCACGCTTGTGTCGATGAACGTGGAGGCTGTGTCGATGAAATTGGAGGCAGCTGCCACCATTGGCGAAAGGGTGAGACATGAAAGAGCATAGCAGCATCTTCTTCCTGCAGACGGATTTCTGCAGGTGTCGCTGGTGGATGTGCTTGGTGCGGTGGTGGCATTGACCCTTGCAGTAACATACGTGCCTGGCGTTTAATGGAAGCACCACTTTTCATGGTACCTGTGCGCTTGCGCCAGTTCTTGTGTGTAGCCGCTCAGATGTCAACGGGACATTGGATCGTGAACAATGTCCTCGGATTCTCTTTCTGCTTGCTTGGCATCAGGCTCCCTATCAGTTTCGTCAAGTGGCGGAAAGTAAGACAGCAAGACTTTTGGGGCAAGGTCGCTCAATTTGTCCAGCTACAGCACTGGTGTTGTGCTATTGGGCGGCCTTTTCGTGTATGACGTGCGTTTAAGCTGCATTTGGATCTGCTTGACATGTCTTGAAGATGTTCAAGGGTAAGCGCCCATTTGTGCAACATGAGGTTTTGGGTTTTTTTCAGCGAGCCGATTTTTGGATCGAACGTAATGGTCTCAGTGGCGAAGGGGATTGAGGCTGGACACGGCCTGCTCCTGTTCGGAGGGCAACTCTTGGGTTTCTCTTTGTTATTGCTGACTTCTTCTACCGCCTCCTGTCTGTATGCTTTTCGATTTGTTTTGCTTTGCTCTAGTTTTCCTTCATTTTCATGTTGGATTTCGTTGGTATTGTTGCTTGCTTATGTTTGCCACTTTACTATACCTTGCTTTTTGTTGTGTTGTATGCTTATGCTGCCTTGGTTCCGTTTTGATTTTATTGCGATTAGATTGATTGTCAATTGCTACTCCTTCTTTGCCACCAGCTGCTTCTTGACGTTTCCTTATCGGGTCCCGGGCCTCAGAAATTACTTTTTAGGTTTCGGGCCTTCCGTTCGGGTTTCCTGGCACGTGGGCACGCGGGTCCACGGAATCGGCTTGCAGGACTGAGCAGCACAACCGCTTCACTGGTTTTGGGTTGCACTGTGTTTAACTGTGCCACGGCCTCTAGATTTCCCGGGTTTTTTGGGTTGGGGAGGCGGGGGAGAGGGGATAATAATAACGACCATGCCCAAAGCACCGCTATCTTTAGATGTTTGCCGCGCTGTACATACTGCACAAGGATGTGGAACAAGACGTCCAGAATACTAGTGTTTGAAGCTCCCGTACAACAAACTGCACAAGGATTTTTCATGTTTCTGGGACATGGCAAGCCCCAATGGACCGACGCCGTGTCACAGTTCGAAGCATTACAAACTGCCTGTTTCAGCAATCTGGAACCCTTTTGCGGTGCCTGAGGTGCGGGCACCTAGTAACTAGTTGGGAGTGGTTAGTGGCTCATTGCTACGGGTTAGGGGATAGTCGTTAGTAGCTGCTGGCAGTAGTTAGTAGTTAGTAGGTCGTAGTTGTACCACTGGGCGCGTGGTCCATCTACCAGCTACATATTGCTAGTTGGCAATAAGTACAAAAAAGGCCAACAAACATGTCCACGATGTTGGCAACTGCATGCCGAGGGACACAGAAGTGCTTTGGTGAGGCCCCAATAAAACTGTTGCTTCCGCGAGACTATGGTGGATGTGGTGACCTGCAGCCTTTTGGCAGATGTTGGATCCCACACAGATCCCACGGAAGCTACAATTGAGCTTCTAATGCTGATCCGACTCGCGTCCGTTTGCCCTTGTGCTTGATGTGTTTCGATTCCTGCTGCCTTGTGTGGGCATCCGACATCCGGCATCGGCGGAATTAGGTTCAACATGCTGGGCCTCGGAGACATTGCAGTCCCGGGGTTATTCATGGCCTTCTTGGCGAAGTGGGATGCAGTGCCACGGCTGGGAAACTGTTGCTGGCGTCCTCCCTTGCAGCCTCCACGACAAAGCGAAATTTTAGCTGCCACGCCCAATGCCTTCCAAAGCAAAGTTAGTATCAAGTTGGAGATATTTAGCATGTCCGTCAGCAGACAGTCCATTGTTTCGGCTTGCACGGCCGATGCTTAAGGTCAGAATGGCAGATGGTTTCAGCAGTAACTTCATCTACCTGAGATCTGCGCTGTTCGCATACGTCCTGAGCCTGATCACGACGAAGACGGTGATGATGGCTTTTCAGCATGCACAGCCAGCTCTCCTGTATATTTGCCCGTATTTGATCATAGCGTCTGTGTGCACTGCGCTGGCACGTCGACCCCTTAGCAGCCTAGCATGTGCGGAGCATGTGGAAAGTGTGGAGCAGTGCACAATTGGCAAGCCCTGTCTGGGTTTGCCAAAACGCACCTGAGGTGGTGAGCTTGCTGATCTGATGGGCTTCACAATTTCCGAAAGGGTGGAGGTGGATACGCGATCCGAGTTCAGAGGCCAGTCGCTTCAGGCGTCTACATCGTCTGAACCCGAGGTTGAGCGGAAGAACAGGGCTGATTAACGGCAGGGAAAAAGGCTTTTGCACCTGGTCTTCGCCATAGTAAAAGAGTTTCTGAAAGTGGGAGCCAAACCCTTCAGTCTCTAACATCTCCTGATCGTCAGGAAGAGAGCGCTGGACGGCTTCGGTGGCCTGGTGCTGGAGGCTTCGGGGCTGTCGGCCTTTGCACCAGTGAGTATGCGCGTGCAGGTGATTTTGTGCAATGCCTGGGTTAGGGGTGGGGCTTCGGGTCCAGGGGTTTTGAACCGATAGCGGCTCGTCTTCTGACCGCCTTAAACCCTGTGTGCACCCATTCCGCGTGGTCATGCCTGTTCCTGTTCTCTCTCCGAATCAGCAGCGAACCAACATCAGGCAACATCTTACGAGCCAGCATGAGAGCAAATCGTGCAATTCCGTGTCAATGGCTGTCAATTGGGTTAAACACCTGACCGCATGAGCAATTCCATGTCAATGGCTGTCATTGGGGTAAAACAACTGACCGCATGAGCAACATTCGAAAGCAGCACGCCATTCTTTTGCCATGGGTGGCCTTCCCAGCGACAAAGTCACACTGCGGATGATGTCTGGCGAGATTAAGGAAATTTCCGCTACAGGAACCCTGGCAGATCTGAGGCAGATTGTCGCACAGTTCGCTCAGACGTGTCCGGAGTTCGTTCGATTTCTTCAAGACGAGACGGTCCTGGCAGAGTCTGTAGATGTGGCTTCCTTGGCTGGCAGCGAGGTGGCAGCTTTGATCACACCCAGTGTGCCCAACTTGCTCAAGGCGCTTCGCCGGGAGGAGTTTACTTTCAGAGGGCTTAATGAGAAGTCCACGTCGGCCAGTGCGGCCCGTGGCTTCAATGTCCTGCATGCAGCGGTGTTCAAAGGGAAGCTGGACATGGTGCGATATCTTCTTTTGGAGGAGGATTTTCTGGGTGTAAATGATGCTTGCAGCGACGGCAGCGGCTACACGGCCTTGCATTTGGCTGCTGCCCGTGGGTTGGTGGATGTGTGCCTGGAGCTCTTGGGATGCCATCGTGTCGCGCATCAAGATGCGCACAGCATCAAGGATGGCACTGCTCTCCATATCGCAGCACAAAGTGGCCATACTGCTGTTCTTCAGGAATTGCTTGACTCTGAGCATTTCGCGGCAGTGAACTCCGTGATTGTGGCTGATCAGTGGCGCCAGGATTGGCGGGAGAGATACGGACAGACGGCATTACATGCCGCTGCAAGATATGGGCGCAAAGAAGCAGCAAAGACATTGCTGGACCATCCCCGCTTTACTGCAGTAGGTGCCTACACCAAGGCATTCAAGGATGCAGCTGCGCTGGCGGACGAAGTTGGACACGCGGAGCTCGCAGCAATGATCCGCAGCCATCCGAAAGTGCAAAAGCACCGGCGAGCTCAGGCATAGAGGAAAGTTGTGGCAGCCAGTTGCGGCAAGCTGGAGCCACTTCAGCCTTAGATGCGCCTCGAGACCCGTCCCTCGAGACAAGCCTATTTTGAGAGGATTACGTCCTGAACAAAGCAAACGCAAAGGGGCGCAAACGGATCCGTTCTAGCCAACACAGAAATCGGAGCCGATTGTGCACACTGCTGTGCATGTGGACGTCTTGTCACAGGCACATGGCCAGAATGTCCTTGCAGCTAGCCAAGGCCCCTCGCACCTGCCAGAAGTTTGATCGTGCGAAATCCTCCATGTAAGACCACGTTTGTGCTGGTGCAGGTGGTGCGCCGACCGCGGCAATCCACAGATTTGCGTCAGCTGCCTTGTCTATGAGTGTGAGTGTGAGAATGTGTGTGAGTGTGAGTGTGTGATGGTGAGTGTGTGATGTGTGGGAAACCCGAAGTTCCAAGGGACGTGATTCGTTTTCTTGTTTGCTGTCCATAATTGGTCAAGATTTTCCAAGCCATTTGGCACTTGGCTTTCCGAGCTTGTCGTCACTAGTCGTCATATCTTCGCAACAAGGGGCACCGGGAGATGTGGTCCACGTGGTCCATGCCCAGCAGGGACACACAGAGACTTCTTGTGACAACGTACCTGCGCACAGTTGCTTGTGACATCATCTACTGTGACGTAAACTCCCAATTTTTCTCGGTTTGGACTCGATTCGCGGGCGCTTTGCATGGATTCAGACCATTTGTGCTTTGGGGTGTGAGATGACTTCGTTTCGTGCCTTGGATTTGTGCAATGGCACTTCGGGTCTTTGGTATGCGCAAGTGCCTTCGGTTACATATTCTACAACCAACATTAGATTCCATCAATTTTTCGCTGTTTCCTGAACAGGCCTGTTCAAGACCCCCCACTCTTGATGGATGTTTCCAGGCTGTTCGTTGACTTGCTACCCCTCTGGGGTGTAAGCTTGTCAAGTGTGAATTGGGGTCCGTCATGATCGGTTGAATTTCACCGAATTGGAGACATGTGGTGTACTCATCCTTGACAAGGGTTGAAGGTTTGACAATGAAGAGACCGTGACAAGATCGATGAAAACCTGAGCTGGACAATGCGATGTATCAGTTTGAGCTCCTTGGAGTTTTCTGCTTAGGTTGTTTCTTGTGTGCCGTTCTCAAAAGCAGGAGTTGGCTGTTGAAGCTTTGGCTTTGATGGAAGCCCTTGTTCCATCTTTCAACTGCCTTTGATGACTTTGTACTTTCGAGTTTTTACACGTCTCGGTCGGGTATTCTTCCCAGCCCTTTGCATCATGGCCATGTTCTGTGTTCGGCAGTCGGTAGGCAGTGCTTCATGTTGCTTTTGGTTGCTTCTGACCTATGTCAGTGTGACGTTTCTGATGTCTTGTTGTGCGCCTGAGGCCGGGGAACCCCTATTTGGTGACGGTGATGCCAGTAGCCGAGCATGGGATTCCTGTGGGATGTTTTTCGCTGTTTGACTTGCGTTTGGCACTTCCTTCGTCTCAATGTCGTTTTGTAAAGTTGTCTTGTGGCGCAGACGGTTCTGACGACTTTCAGCCGCAGACTGGCAGGATGAAAGGGGGACTGTCTCCTAGGAAGATTTCGCATGTGCATTTCAAAGCCCTATTTTCCCGGAGAGCCGACGAGAGCTGAAGGCCTTTGCTGGTCAACATGGCCAGCGCTCGCACCTCAAGTTCACAAGAGGATTTGGAAAGAATAGGTTGAGGCTTTTCCTGCTCGACTCCGTGCACTAAGGCCTGTGGTCCTGCGCAAGAAGCCGCGGAGCCCAAACACATCATTACCCAGGCGGAGCTGCATGCAACACTGCCTTGCCCTGTGTTGCGCGGTACTGAGCATGGCATAGTGTACACTTTCTCACACTGCCGGCTCGAGCTGTGCCCATGACGACCTTGCACGGAGGATTCCTGGCGCCTGGTGAAGGTAGAGCCTGAGGTGCAGGCGGCAAAGCTTGGCTTCGGCCCAAAATGGTTGGGTAAGAACATCGGAACGACTGCCGTAGCCCTGGCAGGACATTGCGGACCACTTTGGTCTAGATGAGCGTATCACAGGCAAACTGCAAGAGGCCACTTCATTAAGGAGACCTTAGCAGTGCGAGACTCAAACAGTGATCGGTCTTCTGTGAACCGTTGACGAAGTTCCTGATTCTGCCAGGCTCTCAATACCCGTCCAGATCCTGGGACAGATCTGCAGGTGGGTGCTCTCGTCATCTCGTTGCTGTCATCTCGCTTGTTCGCTCCTTTCTTTTTTTAAGAAAATATTTGCTTGGGTCACACTTTCTGAGTCTGTAGACTCCCCTCTTTGTTCAAAAGACCTTGTGGGTGGATGTTTAACCGGCTGCAAGGTTATGTGGGAAATCCTGGATGAAGCCAGAAACCCGCCTGGCCTCACCATGATCAAGGTGTTTGCGACTCTGAACTCGTTCAAAAGCATCTTTTCTGCTGCGGCGTGGGAGGTGAAAGAGATGCTCGATGGCACGTTCCGTGCTGGCGAGCAGAAGGATGCCTGTCGCTCAGTGGTGCTGTATGTGAGCGACGTCCAGAACATGCGGTTCTTTGCTCGTAGTTGCTGTTGGGTTCTCATGTGGGCCTTATCCTGAAGCAGAGGCAGATGAGAGAAATTTTCACATGATTTACACTATGATGAATATGTGACAACCCCCACCAGACCGCAAGATTTGACGGGCCTTGTGCCATGGGCGCTACATCAAGTTCGGCAGGAGCCGTGCCGACGCGGCCTGACAGAAGAATGCCGGTTGCAGAGCGCCATGCGGAATGCCCCCTGTCTTTCAAGCCGCTCTACAAAGGTCCTGTTGCACCTCAGCTGATCTGATGTATAGCAGCAGCCCAGCTGGAATGGGTTCCCGGTACTTTGACCCCGAGGCAGTCTTCGTAGACAACGCCGGCAAGCGAGTCGGGCAGGCCCGTTGTTTTGCCGTGCCCACTTGTACGCATTCGGACCCTGCTGTTTGCTCTGGTGACCTTCAGGACTTCTATAGCTTGGATGCTGCACAAGCATTCCTCAAACGCCATGGTGCTGGTGCAAGATGTCCTGCGACGAACTTGCCAGTAGCCAAAGTGCAAGAGGTACCAAGTATCACGAAGGACAGTCGGATAAAAACGATTGGTCGCAAGGATTCGCTGCATTGGATTCACATGCGCTTACAGTAGTCGATGTTTATGTCGTTTTAGCACGTGCATGTGTGACATGGACAGCCCTGGCACTATTTCCTTGAGGACCCGAAAGCTTGGTTTCGCCTTTGTGATGTGGATGGTGACCGCAAGCTCAGCCGTGATGAGGTCGTCTCAGCACTTAAAGCGCAACTGCCCTTGGACAACAAAGCGATTGACAGATTCCGGACTGATGATGCTGCCTGGCGTTCGTGGGATGCCGACCAGCAGCCCAGCAGGCTATTAGCGGACTCTGCACATGCACGGCGCAGTGGGACACACACACACACACACACACACACTCACTCACTCACTCACTCACCCAATCAGCACCATCACCATCATCACCATCATCACCATCATCACCATCACCATCGCCATCGCCATCACCATCATCACCATCATCGTCACCACGCACAAATGACGTTTTGATTTGGAATTGTGAAGTGGGGCAAGGTCACAAGGCGCTGTCATGATCTCGGAACCCCAAACCTGCATGGCAAATTGGCCCAGTAGCTGGGTGGCCAAGGAGTGGTTACCTTGAATACATTGAGATCATGGATGAGGACAAAGGACTGCTCAAGTTTGTGCGCGATTCATTCGCCAGGGCCGCCGTGGAGGCTCCAATCCCGGACTTGCGCAGAGACCGTGACGGCTGGTACAGGTCGGGGGATTACCAGAAATGCTTCGAAGTTGTGGCAGTAAACTCAGACAAGTCAAGGTTGCAGGTTAGCCCAGTTTCCGGTGATGTGGGTCATCAGCTGGTAGTTTCGACAAAATTAATAAAAGTAGGTAAGCAGGCGGGCAATGTGCCGAAAGTATCCGAAAGTCTTGAGCAGGTACTGGGATGAAGATGGAAGCGGGGAGCTTGAGTTCGAGGAGGTCGTGCGCGCTTTTGCCAAGACCTTCCTCATTGATGTGGAGGGCATATCGCAGCTGCGAGAGAGTCTTGGTGCCGTATGGCCCATCTTCGATACCGACAACTCTGGCGCCGTGGATCGCCAAGAATTCTTGGCTCCACGTGATGGCTTAGCAGACACTGTTCTGGCCACCATGCGCTACCAGTGACAGCCTGAGTGCGAGCGGCAAAAGTATTCCTGTGGGCATTCTGGTTCCTTTCAGTTTCGTTGCAAATGGGTTGTTGAGAGCAAGCTAGGCTTGAGTCAAAAGCGTCGAAGGAAAGTATGTCCTGCATTGAGAGTGGCTCGACATGGATCAGCAGTTCAGTGCCCGGACTGCTAAGGCAAGCCGGCCATGAAACGGCATGCTAGTTCGCACTCTGGTTGGAGGCTTCTTGCGCCCGCCCTTTTTTCGGTATTCTCGCGGAGCACGATCGCTAGCATCTTGTCGACAGTGAGACCTGGGCCGGCTCGGGTGGTACAAGCTGCAGAAGTCGAGGCTTTCCAGTGCAGAGGCCACGCAGCACTGCGTGGCCTGCTCCTGCCGAAGGGGGTGATGCGGCTCAGAAGGCACAGTGCAAAAGGGAAGAAGGCAGGGGAGGTTGCCGCGAAGCAGCGCGCCCTTCGGACAGCCATGCAGCTTAAGGAGCCCACTAAATCTGCGGAGGTTGTGTTTGACAGATGCCTTTCTGGAGCGACTTCTTTTCTGCAGTACTTCAACCTATGGCGCAGCTCACCAGACTTGCTCAATGTCCACAGTGGCAGCGCCCTTCTTGAAAAGCGAGGTTTTGCATTTCTATGGCGACACCCTCTTCGCTGTCTTGCGAAGCAGCAACGGAACAAGCTTGCACATAGATGTGGACCATGTGCCACTCGAGAATTCTGACTTCGTAACATTCTGGATACCCCTGCAGAGAGTTCCAGGAAGGGTCTCCTCGACATGGCAGCCACCTGCAGAATGCTGAGTCCACAGACACAAGTGTCACAAGGCTCAGTACGCATGGCCCCTTGGAGCTGGGTGATGTAACAGTTCATCATGGCAATACTTTACATGCTGCCCCCTCCCTCAATGGCCAGGCCGAAGAGCGGTGGGCTTGGGCAGTGTCCTTCTTCGCCCATGGTGCTACGGTGAAGCACCTTCCAGCCGATGAAGAGAGCGAGTCCCACCGAGACTGGGCGGCCTCCTTGCCGCAAGGTGCTCTGGCCAATCATGACTTGCTGCCGCTCTTTCGTGTGCCAATGCAAACTACAGCTAGTGAAGTGATTCCGACTGTGAAGGAAACCGCTGGGACACAGTGGTGGCTGCAATTTTTAACTGGTGTCTTGCACGCAGACACAGGTCGGCCTTGCGAGGCAGCACAATGCTTGCAGAACTTGTTCAGCAACGGCAACTGCAACAATTCTTTGGATTTGACCGTCGCAAGCACCGTTTGGGTGTGCTCCTTCATGATACGCGCCAGCTCGAGGAAGCAGGTTCTTTCTTGCGCCGGTCCGCGGCTCTTGCGGACCAGGTGTTCCGCCAGTGGAAATGGCTGAACTCCTGACTGATTTGGGGCTTTGGCTGCGAGACTCTGGTGATGTGGTCCACGCGGAGCAAAGGTTCCGCCAGGTGATGTGTAGAGAGGAGATCTTCGGCCCAATGCACCGAGACTCGTTGTTTTCCGCATACTTAGCCGATGCTCTGGAAGGGCTTGGGCGGGTAGTGGAAGCGGAGAAGTTGTTCGACAGAGAGGTCGCTTGGTGCCGGAGATATCTGGGAGACAGCCATCCCGAGACGCAGGTGAGCATCAGGAACTTGGACGTGTTCAAGAGGAAGTGGACCTCTAGCCAAGAGTCACTTGAGGCTACTGATGAGGTCCCCATCAGAAACGTTGAAGCACCGACATCCCAACACAGCGAGAGCACAAAGTGAGTTGAGCTTGGGCAGTACATGGCAGTACACAGTTGAATGCGCCTGGTTCGGCCATATGAATGCCATGCAATGCTTGCCGAGGCTGGAGTGCAGTCCCTGGCCGAAAAGTTCAAGCTTGACGAGCGTGCTGCGTACAAGTTGAGTGAGGTTCCAGCACGGTCTGATCTTTGCAGGTCATGTGTGTAGAAAACGTGGTGCAACCTACTTGATAGGTCCTGTCTACGAAGCCGAACAAGTCGGTTCACTCAGTTTTTTGAGAGTTCATCCAGGCGCCCTGCGCGTCCGACTGTGTCCTGTTATTATCTGTTATTGTGATTCGACGGATGCCGAGGAAGGATGTCCTGAGAGCGCTTGACATTCACTTGGCAGCTTGGCGCTGAGCACTGGGCAGTCGCTGGCAGCCTGCGGCTGCAGAAGCATGGCAACATCAGCCCTGGCCAGCCACAATACATTCAATACGGCCATTGCGGAGCCAGAGGGGCTGCAACAATGGTGTGCAGCACCTCAGTGCATTAAGCGTCTACGCAAAACAACCGAAAGCAAGCAGTACGTACAGTACTCACAACCAGCTAATAAAGCAGAGACTGCAAGCGCCAGAGCACATGCAGCGGCCTGTGTTCAGCTAGTACTTGGGCAAGTGCACCTGGTTTGTCCTTGTTCTCGCACTGGAGCTTCACGGACCAATGTCGTGTGTCTGAATCCTGAGGCCTCCAACAATCCGTCTGCGCTTGTGATGCTGAAGCCGGGCACTTGTGAGCTTCTCCTCAATCCAGATGTGCGTGTATCATGACCATTGGGACAAGGCATGTTCAACGTTTAAGTGAGCAGCGGCATCGTTTGGATGTTGCTGGCTTGGAAGGCTTGCGGACCTGCGCAAAGACGTTCCATTGGGCGAGGCTCCGCCGTGGGACCACTGGACCACCCTGGAAACCTGGAAGCTAGCAAAAGGAGTTCATGGGAGTTCATGGGAGCTCATGCGCTTGCAAAGAACTCACCAATGTGTTTTCGAGATGTGGCACGTTCAATGATGGCACATCTTGCTTGTATGCAAGAGTGTTGCTGCTAGGTTCCTTATGGTACGAAGGGATACCGCGATCGCCACGATCCCGGCATGGGTGCATGTTCGATTACGTCCATGATCACTCGCTTTAAAGTAGGCATTCGCAGCTCCTCGTGTGCCCCGCAACATGCTTGGCTTCGCGGTTTTCTGCCATTTTCCTTCTCAGGCCCGTACCTGGGCAACTACGACCGCGACGGTCGGCGAATAGGAAGAGCAGAAGATCCTGCTGTTAAGGCTCGTCGCCTCACTTTCTTCATGCGACCTTGAGGAAGTTTCAAACTCCTTGCAGGCAAATGCTGGCGAGGGACCTCCCCGCGATCGCGCGGGCCTTATGTGACGCTGCTGGTAGAGTCTCCTCCTGGAAAGTTCCCGAAAGTTCTGGCTGTCAGGTGACAAAGCCGACAAGGGCGAGAGGTTCTACCTCCCACAGTTTGGTTATGCTAGACTCCTGCCATTCTTGACTGGGATTGGCCCGCAGCTGTTTGAGCTGCAACAGTTCATGTGCTGCTGTTTTGCAGGGTTGAGCGATGGCAGCAGAGGATTGGCGAGATAGCAATGTAGGCGCAATTGGCGGCGACGAGGACAAAGCTGTCAGAAAGCTGGCTGCTGCAAAGGAGCCTGCCTGGGAAGGTGCGGGCACCAAACCTGGCATTCAAGTGTGGCGTATTGAGCACTTCCACGTGGTCCCGGTGGAAACGTCGTTGCACGGGCAGTTTCACAAGGGAGACTCATACATTGTGTTGCACACAGAGGAAGTCGACGGAAAGCTGATGCGCACAATCTTTTTCTACATTGGAACTGAAAGCTCCACCGACGAGAAAGGGACCGCAGCATACAAGACAGTGGAGCTTGACGATTATTTCCAGGGTGAGCCAAAGCAGGTGCGTGAGGAGATGGGCAAGGAATCACCTGCCTTCGCTGCCCTTTTCTCTGGCTCCCTGAAGTACCTGGATGGTGGAGTGGACAGTGGCTTCAAGCATGTTGTGCCGGAGGGGCATGACACGAAACTTTTCCAGGTCAGGAAGGTGAAGGGCAAAACGACAGTCCTGCAAGTGCCAACCAAGAAGGACGGCAGTAAGCAGGAAAGTTGCACATGTAGCACCTGCAACAGAGGCAAGCTTTCGATGCGTTGTGTCTGAGCAGTCCCTGCGTGGAAGGAGATGGTGAACGACTCTGACAGTTTCGTGCTAGATGCACCGGGCAAGATCTACGTGTACGATGGTCCCCAAGCCTCGCCCCGTGGCTGCGAAGAGCAAGCCGCTCCCCCCAAATGGTGAGACCATTTGAGACCCAAAAAAGCATTTGGTAAAGTAGAAGCATAGTTGGTATGGCTCACCATGTGGGTGCCTGCCTTGGCTGGTAGGCCTTTCGAGAAGCAAGCGGCCAACCGACATGCCGAGCATTTGGAGAGTATGAGGAGCGCGGATGGTGGTGGCGGGAAGAGGGCACTTGTTGAAGCGTGATTCTCTAGACTTCGGCACAGCCTTCTTTTGTCCTTTGCAGGAGCGGCCATGCGCAAGCCACACATGATATCGACGATACGTTCTGGACTTTGTTAACCGCAGCTGCCTGACTCACCCTGTTGTGTCCCGTTGTCCTTTTGCTTGAGTTTCAACTGGTAAGAAATACATTCTAGTTGAGACAAGATGCTTTTGCAGATCGACGGGTGACGTGCCTTACGTGTGCTGCAAAAGCAGTCGACACTGCAGCAGAGCGCAGGGCTTGGCAACTTCTCACAGTCCGGGACTAAAGCTGCACAGCCATGCGCAGGTCAGAGCGTGGCCGTGAGCGTGGCGGCGACCGTGGTGACCGTGGCGATCGTGGCGACCGCGACCGCGGCGACCGTGGCGACCGTGGCGATCGAGGCGACCGTGGCGATCGTGGTGACCGCAATCGGGATCGCGAGCGTGCAGAGCGTGGTGACCGAGATCGAGACCGTGATCGTGGCGACCGTGGCGATCGTGCCCACGTCGATGGAGGTGCCTTAGTAGCCTTAGTGCCTGCTGTGCCTTGCTCGTGTTCTTGCGGGATGCAGGTGGTGATCGCCAGGCCCACTGCATCTCATGATCTCTGAGTGGTCGACCCCCCTTTCGGTAGCTGCAGGAGCGGCGTGGCAGAAGTCGAAGCAAGCATCCCAGATGTCCACAGATTTTGTGGGAGATTGTGGTATCTGATGGAACGCAAATGACAAGTTTTGTGCTGTTCTGTGTAGGGTCCGGCAGAATCGCAAATAATTGACCTTGAAGTCTTATGATGGTTGGTTGTTGTAGGTCGTCGGCGGCGCAGCCGCAGCCGGGTCTCGGGCCCAGCGCTTCATCGGTCAGACCTTAAGCTGCTCAGTACGAAGCAACACAAGCTTCCACTGCGGCGGGGTGCTTGGTGGGTCATGTGGGATCAAAATTTTCATCACAACGAGAGCTGCTGAGATTCGTTTGGCACGTTCAAGCCCCGAGAAATCCTCACACCCGGCCATACCCCATCCTGGCGCGCTCCAGCCCTCTGCTTTTAGTCGCTTGCCTGTAACACTGGGGAATTGTGCACAGTGCACGCTACTCGGATCCGTCTTTGTGACATGCCTAAGACCGTGACGACGGGACCTCGAATTTGTTGGGACAACCGAAGCAAGTACGCATTGCAGTAGGGAAAGCCCGTGCGACCATCATCAGCAAGAACCCGGCACACTCTTGGCTCTTGCCACTCCGGCTCAACGATCTCCAGTGTTTTGATGCCTTTTGTGCCTTTGCGTTTGCTCATGGTTTTCTGAAGTCTCACAGCTTTAATTAGGCCATTCCGTGTTGCCTCGCTTCCTGCTGAAAGGCTGCAGCCGCTTGAGATGGGAGGCCTGCTGAGACCCGCAAAGTTACGCGCAAGTTCCTGCTTAAACAGGCAGCTGAGAGTATCTTGGTGCGCACCTGCCACATGACAAAATGCATTGCTTTGGGCTTCACCTTGGTGCTGCCAAGCATTGTCAGACCTGCACAACTGCACCTTTGTGATCGCCAGCTTTGCTTGGGAACGGGGCCTGGTGAAAAGCAAGCATGCAGATGGATTTGACGCAATGCTACCAGTAAGATCCAGGAAGAAACCTTTGGCTGACTTTCTTAGCATGGAGCCTGCCACGAGTGCAGCCGGCCCCTCCCGCAAGGCAAGACACACATCATCGCACACAAAGCGTTCCAAAGGTTTTCAGATTCTGGGGATTCGCGGGAATGGCGCAAGAAGTGCAACAAGAGTTCCACGTTCGTTTCGAGTGTGTTAGCATGTTGAACCGGCTCTGGGCCAGGCTTCTCGCTGCCTGGCAGAACTGCTCCAGTCTGATGAGGGACAGGTTCCTATGGTTCCTTCGAGTTTCCGGGGCTTGTTGGACTTGCAGCCTCTGAGCTTTTCAGGCACTTGAAGGTCCATTTTCAGGACACGAACCCTCCAGTGGTTTGAGCGACTGCCAGCTTTTTTCAAAATCTTGATAGCACAGGGTTCAGGCTGTGCCAGCCAGCCTGGTCTTCCATTTTCCTGTTGCTATAGAGCGCATGGTGCATTTTGCTGGCTAGGGGCTACCGGCATGGAGGTCTGCTTCCTTGTCAAGTTCTTGATGCAGAGAGGGAGAAGCGCTGCGGCAGAAATGAGGCAGGGAAATGGCTGGGCTGAACGGTTGAGTTTTTTGCGCTGAAGAAAGACATTGCATGACTTCAGTTCATTGATGCCAAGGAATCGGCTTGCAAAGGGCCAGCCCGTTCAAGCTCGCGGCTTCCACTTCAATCAGGAGGTAGCGTCCTTGTTTCCTGGGCCATATATGTGTCTGTGTGTTATTGCGTGTTACTGGGTGGTTGTCAGCTTCGCGTGTTTGGTTGTTTTGCACCAGGTCATTGCGGAGGCTCTCCGTCGTTGGGAAGTTGAAGAAGAGGAAATGAAGAGGCACATCTGCGAATGCCGCGTACGATTTTTTGCAGGCTAGCTTAGCATCCTGGCTTGACAGATGTAAGCGGCGGCCAGGTCGAGTAGGTCAAGTGCGAGGACGGCAGTGCAGACAGCGGGTGTCCCTGGCTGGGCAGCTGGGCCAGCACAGGGTGAAGGCACCAAGATGCCGACGAACAAAACCACCTCATTCTGCCTTTGAGAACCCACTTTGATGCAGGTGACAGCCGAAGCTCTCTTCGTAGGCCTTCGGAAACTTGACCCTGCCTCGGCTGCCTTGCAAACTACCGTCTCCCCTCTTCCAAGTGCAGGCCTGTCGACAAAGGGGACAGCGAGCAGACCACGAGACAGGCCGCGTCATATGTAGTGACTATGTAGTGAGTGCAATCACGGTTCAGCAAGCCTCAGTACAAGCTCAGTACAGATCAGTACATCTGTGTCAAGTTTGAGGGCCGGGTCGAAGGGCACTTCGGCTCAGGTTCCCGGTGTTCCCGCGCTGCGGCGCAGGCTTGCCCTTGGCTTGTGGCTTTTGCCTGCCTTCTGAGACGGCTGCTCCTTGAGACGCCGGCTCAAGAAACAAAACACCAACCGCTCAAACACGAGTAGAGCGACATTCAGAGTCTGCGGAAATGGAATGCAGAATCCAGAAAGGAAGACGCAGCAGGACCATGAAGGCCAAGAGCTATCAAGCGTGCAGGGCAGTTGAGCCGGATGAGGTGTTTAGGCAGCTCATGGCAATCATGCCGGAAGCTGGCTGCTGCCGCCTCTGCCGCATCCGCTGCTGGGATTGGGCTAAAGCGAAGTGAAGGAGGCAGCGTTCGTGCAGCTAGTGCCGCCGACTGGAGTCAGAAGGAGGCACGCCGCAGCCGAATTCAGCAGAGGGGACCGCTTCAGAATGCTGAAGATGGAAGCCAAAAGAGGCTTTTGACCAAGTCACGGGAGCCACAACGGTAAGTATGGTAACAATGTATGGGTGTTGTGGTGCAAGCGAGGTGCTGCAGGCTGCTCGGGTGGATCACTCCCAGACGAAGGAGTCTTTTTTGGTGCTTCTTAAGGTTGGTTTTGGTTGACATGTTCATGCGGTTTTGCTCCATGGAATGATGCTTCTTGCGGCTGGCACCATCAGCACCACTGGGACCATTCAATTTTGTGGGGACGTCGGGGATCGCCCATGCAGGATCACGCAGGGCAATATGTTCCACAAAGTCAAGCACACCAGAGCAAGATGCTGGGGCATGGCCGTAACCTGCGGCGGCCAAAGCAGACACGGTCAAAGGAGCAACGAAAACAAGGCTGGAGGCCCACATCCGCCTTCAGCTTCTGAGAGAAGCCTTATAAGTATGAGTGGAGGAAAAGTGCTTTCTCTAAAAATTCCATACCTGGGAGGTTTGTGGGGACAACACCTTCAGCTTTCAAGACTCCAAAAAGACTTCCCGCTTCTTACAGTAGCGATCATCGCCCACATTTTGCAGAGTCCACTCCCCTTCCCGGCATTCATGTAGGTTTTGTGCTCCCTCCCCCGCATCTGACATACCAGCGATCGAGAACCTACGAGGACGCTTCTCTGCTTTCCCGTGGTGTGCAACAGCCAGGGAACCTTGAAAGAACCGCACCCAAAACATGCCTATTCCCAAACTAGTGCGGTTTTTGCCGCTACGACTGCTCTCAGGAGGTCGCCTCCACACGCTGGCTAAAGCTGCAGACTTTGACATACCGAGCCCTGACGCAAGACGACCCCAAGATCACCCAGTGCCACTAGGCAGTCGGCTAGACGTCTAGCATTATGAGTTATGTCATGCGCATGACAACGGGATTCAAGGAGACGAGGCGGGTCGAGATCGGCGCTGGGACAGCGTGTCCCGGACTACTCGCCGCGCCTCGCTGGCCACGTCCGGCGTTGATGCTGTGGCGATTCTTGCCGTGCTGCGTTCCTCCGCCAACCCTGGGCGAGCTGAGACGTTGTTGGTCCAGCAGGACTGGCGGCAATGCCCCTGCAGTAGGAAGCCTCGTAGATGCACATCTTTTGGTATCAACTCTTCTTGGCATTGCTGTTCTCGCAGTTCCGGCCGCCTGTGGACTGTCCCACGATTGAGCTCCCGGCTGGCCTTGTGGACGAGGGTGAGACGGCCCAGGAGGCTTGAGGTGATGCCCAAAGGGTAAGCCGGGTAAGGTACGTAAGGTTAGCAGGCCCAGGTCTAGGGCCTAGGTACGTCAGCACAGCGTTCGCCCAGGCAGCTCTACGAGAGCTCAAGGAGGAAACGGGTTACATCGGCACGGTTGCGGAATGCTCGGGGGTTCTTACCATGTCGCCAGGGCTTTGCGATGAGATGATCAGGCTTGTTGTTGTCGACGTGGATCTAGACCGGCCTGATGCTTTGCTGCAGTGACTGCAGTGCTACTGCTACTGGTCCTACTTACCGCTAGCACTTTTCATTTCAATCGCAGGGTCTTGTGTTGTGGGCCTGGTCGGGTGCATAAGGAAAACCAGTCGCCAGCGCAGCAGTTGGACGAAACGGAACGCATCGTGGTACGCCGCGTTCCTTTGGATCAACTTCTGCAAGAGCTCGAGGTCTTAATCCGACAAGGATGTATGCCGATTGCAGGCCGGCTGCTTGCGCATGCTCACACTCTGCCCCCGTTGTTTCTCCGAAAGGCATCACAGATGACATGCAGACTGTATACTCTAGGATGCCGCAGGCTTGTACTTCTTGGCCGTCGGCTTACGCCTTGGTCTTCGACCCTTCGGCGGAAGCTTAACGCAGCTTAACTCATCAGTCCATGGTGCATTTCCATCTGCATTTCATTGCCTAGAGCCTGCTTACATGCCACTACAGTTGCGAGGAGGTGGGGAGTTTCGATTGAGACGTAGGGGGGTCGTGGCTGAGGATGAGGCATTGTCCGCACTGAGGTCGACAGGATGATAGATGATGGCATGGAGCGTGGGCAAAAAGGAGATAAGCGGAAGTCTGCCTCTGATCTTGAATCCTGCGGTACACTTGCGGTCTAACCTGTGAATGCTGTCTACTTTCGTCGGGGCACATTTCCCAGAATACATGCTATTGATTGTGCGACGATTTTGCTCTTCCATATCTGGTCGTTGGCTATGGATGATGGCCGGTTGACCCATCACGGCGGATTGATCCGATGGCTGGTGTTCAAAGTGTTGTACTCCGCTGTTCCCTCAGAATCCTTGCGAGGCCAAGGCCAGCTGCAGCCCAAGTTTGGATCCCAGCACATCGGGCCGGTGGAGCGCAAAACCGCTGACTCTGAAGTGCATCTGAAGACACCTGAAGCAACTGAAGTGCAACTGTGCGGAGGACGGGGGGGCATACACGGGGTGCGGGAGAGCGCCTTTGCCTTGAGGACCCTTTCATGGATGCAGAGCAGTGCAGGCACCGCCCTCGCTCTATCCATTAGCAGTGCTCAGTGACAGTGCAAATTCTCGTAATTGTATGGCGCAGGAGGGAGCCCGAAGCTGAGAAAGCCACCCTGACCAGGCAAGTTGCCTCAGAAACTTGGCTTGCTGAGAGGCGCTGTTGACACTTCGATCTGTCAGGGCGTGGCTTGAGATGGCCCAGGCTCGTGGCATCCCCAGTCTCTCATAGCCTCTCAAGTTGCAGGATCGCCCAACAAAGTGCCGGAAGACTGAGTCAGTGCATGCTGCCGCCCCATGTGTTTCGGAGTGTCTGAGCCTCTGAAATCAGGGAGGAGAGATGCAAACACGAGTAAGCCAAGAAATGATGCTTGTGTAAAGACATCGACCCTTGGCCACTAAAGTTTGCCATGTAGTACCTAGGCTGTATACCTCTTTACAGCTCGAACCCTGGGCAAACGCAGAGTGGCATAGCCATGGATGAGGAGGTGGGGACACCGTGCCCCAAGCGCCCGCGGCTGGACCTGTCAAGGGCCAAGACGCAGGAGGAGGAGCTGGACGATCTCATTGAAAGCGGGCTCTTGGATGAGCCATCGGAGCCACCGGAGGAGGTTGCTCGACAAACTTTTGCAACCCACTTCTCGGCGAAAGGATTCAGAGTCGAGGAAGAGGAGCTGCCGAAGCTTCTGACAGAGGTCCTGGAGAAGGGCCCATCATGGGGTGAGACCAGATACTGGCGATGTGCAGCCCTGTTTGTTGGTTGCATCGCGAGATCTACCAGATCATGCCGAATCGCCTTTGTCGCACACCCGAAGGGGTTGAGCATCCTGGGCCTTGTGCTGAAGGAGGCTGTTGCCCGTTTGGAGTCTCCAGGGTCGCATCAAGAAGCAAGCATGCTTGCGCTCGCCTGTCTCACTTGTTTGAAGTCTCTGCCTTTGGGGCGCGCCTCGCTCTGGGAGCACCGGCATGCGATTGGAAAGCCATTTGACCAGCTGCACAAGTGGTGTAGCAAGGATCGTAGCGCCATTGCGGCCGAGCTCCGGGCCCCGACCCTTGAGCTGTGCCAGCGCTGGAAGCGACAGCCAAAGCCCGCAGCTCAAGAGCAGCCACACAAAGCCTTGCGTGGCAAAGTGCTCCAGCTCATCACAAGCGGGCTCCAGGGTCGAGGTGCCTCGCCTTCGCCGGCTTCTCCTGCTCCGCTTGCTCCGGGTTCGCCGGCCCAACTCCCTCAGAATCTGGTTGCTGCTGAAGTGGAGAGTGCGCTCTGGAGCCGCTATGGTGCAAACAAGACAACAGAGTACAGGCACCACGCGCGCATGCTCCGGGCTAACCTGGCTCTCCCAGGCAATGGGGAGCTTCGAGCAAGGGTCCTAGCAGGAGATCTGAAGGCTGAGGAGTTGGTGTCGATGGACTCGAATGCCTTAGCGCCCGACGAGATCCAACGGCAGCGCAGGGAGGTTCAGCTGCAGGCCATGAAGGAGGTCGTAGTTGAGGAGCTGCTGCCTGTCAGGCCTGAGGAGGGGGAAGGCTCATCTTTCGACCCAAGTGCAGATCTCAACACGGCACCTTTGGTCTGGCGAAGTCCAACCAAAGAGGCTAAGGCGGCCAAGGTGGAGAAAGAAAAGCATGTTGTGGAGGAGGGGGAGGAGGAGGGAGCTACAGGTTTGCCCATGGTGCCGCCTCCTACACCCTTTCGCCTTTCTGTGGCTACGCCAGCGCTGGAACCGGGGACGTCTGACATTCCGGAGATGCTTGCCACGCCAGGGCCGGATGAGGAGGATGATGACCTAATGACCGTCCTTCGTTTCCTGGCCTCGGGGCCATGAAAAACTGGCTGGAAGTGACCTGCAGGAGACCGGAATAATATGGTCTGTGCTGTGCTCTGCTGTTCGGTGTAAGGCTGCAACAGGTGGTGCCACGAGCCACCCCAGTAGACTGAAGCCAAGGCCGCACGCAAGCTGACAACGCTTCTTGCCGCGGGCTGAGGGTCTCGGATTTGTGCCGCTTGTTTCAACTGACGCCTTGCACTGTAGGCGTGGCCAGCATGAGCTTAGCAAGATTGTGCCTTGCTTGCTGGTGACGTGCGCTTGGTGGCTACACGGGCTCTCAGGTAGCTGGTAGAAAACACTTTTTTTTGCCAAGTATCGGCCGATGGGCCTGGTTGAAAGCGTAGACTCGGTATCATGGCCTCCTTTGGTAGAGGCCGTGGGTATGGTGGCTTCAATTCATTCTCGCACACGCGGTTGCGAGATCGCGTTGGCAATCGCGGAAAGATGGAGCTAGAGCCGGACTTAGACCTGGACTTCAGCTCTTCGCTGGAGGCCATGCGAAGCGAAAAACACGGAAGTAGCTAAGTAGCAAGCATCTGTCACAGGTAAGGATGATTACAGTCTCGTGACTCGTGTGAAACTTCAAGCATGGAAAGGGTCGCTGCGAGTGCCCCGCAGGTGGACCTCGGTGCAGGCTTAGGCACAGGAGTCCAACGTGACTCGTTTGGTTTTTCATCCCAATCTGGGATGCCCAAAGCACGGGGTCTCAAGGCGGCAAGCTTCCAGAATGTGCCGAGCACGGGAACCATCAGGCCGAACATTGGGTTGCAAGGCTTGGAGCAGATGCCATTCGACCACCAAATCCGAGGGATGCGCTGGAGGGGGGATGGCGTTTGCTGCTTCATTCTGGCGGGGAGTGGAGGTATCGATGCTTTCCGTGCTTCCCGGGTGTTGCCGCACTTGCTGCACCTGAGTACACTTAGCAGTGGGCACTTATCGCAAGCAGATCTCAGTGGGTTTCGCGCCTGTGTCCTGCTGGCTGACCTGATGGAGTGGCCTGCCACTCAGGAAGGCGCCTCGGATCTCTTGTCTGCCTGCAAGGAGTTGGCATCAAACGGCTCCGCAGTTGCTGTCGTTGCGGTTTTCATGTCCCCCATCCCGGGTGGACCTGATAGAGACGCATCTTCCACGGCTGCGCTGCAGAATGCTGTGCTTGGAGCCGGAGCCGACTGCGTCCTTTTCTCGTGTCCTTCGCATCCAGTGACCTTTCGGCATTTGCAGATGGCCATCCAGGGCACGGAGGCTTGGCACGAAAGGATCGCCGAAGCGATTGAGAGTGCCCAGGCTAAGTTGGCCAGGGCCCAGGAACAGCGCTGGCAAAGGCATTACCAAATAGCACTTCGCAAGATTGTTTGGAAAGCGCCTCAGACAGTCTTTCCGCACATTCCCCAAGAAGACGCAGACCTGGATGAGCGCGAAGATGGCGTGGGTGACTGCTCCTTTGTTCGCGTGATCGGGTCTGGTGCCTTTGGCAGCGTCTTTCTTGGGCGACATCCCCGACTTGGCGATGTTGCGGTGAAAGCCATCAAGAAAGCATCCATCAAGAATATCTTTGACCTTGCCAAGGTTGAGCGCGAGCTCAGCATCCTCATGGGAGTCCTTGACCACCCGAACGTGCTGCAGATTCTGTCCTGTTTGCACAGTGCGAATCGTGGCTTGCAAGTCCCACGCGCACACAGCATGCAGGAACGCACACACACACACACACCAACGCATGCACCATGCACCAATGCTCTCACCAACGCACGCACCAACGCACGCAGGCACGCACGCACGACCCCAACGCATGCACGCACGCACCCACACACGCGCCAACGTGCCCACGCACGCGTGGTGCCCTCGCACACTCACACTCTGGCTGGCCACCAAAAGGTCCAATCGCACGTCGCTCACACAGCTGCGAATCAAAGCAGCCCTTCAAACAGGCTCAACTAAGCATGTCTGCAACAGAATGGTGTGGGATGTGTTCATAGCCAGCAGCTGAGCATGTGCTTCCACATGACAAGTTCTGGTGCCAGTAGATGGTAGACATTCGACTCAGCAGAGGAACAACCTCTACATTGTCATGGAGTTCCTTGGGGAGTACACTCTGCACACTTATTTGCAGCTGCGGCAATCCGGATCAGCCCGCAACGTGGTAATGCTGCCTTTTCAGGAGGCCCGGGACCCCGAGCTCCAAAGAAGAGCAATTGCAAAGAATATTGGAGGGAATGTTGCAGAGTTAAATCGAGTTACTTGAGTTCCAGTGGAAGCCTTGTGCAAAGAGAAAAGAGCCCCGCATGGAGCATGAGGTGCAGAGCATATTTGGCGACATCCTCAAGGCTATTGCCCATTGTCACGCAGCGCACGTGTGCCATCGTGACCTCAAGTTCAAAAACATGATGATCGACGCGAACAGCCGGGTAACCATGGTGGACTTTGGATTGGCTGTGCAAGTAGCGCCCGGCCAAGAGCTGCATGATTCCTGCGGCACAGTGCCATTTGCTGCACCCGAGGCCAGACTTGTTGGGCTCACCGCTTTTTGCCTCCGGACACTGTGTGGCATCATGTGCAGGTCATGCTGTGCAGCCCAGTCAAAGGCTATGACGGTACAGTCGCAGATACCTGGAGCCCTGGCGAAGCCAATCATTTTTCCCATCATTCACGGACTTGAGGTTTGCTACTGTGTGACTCTGGTGTTTCTTGCTGGGCGGGTATGTGCTGGCGAAATAAAGTCGAAAGGAACGTTTCCCTCGGCGAACCTTAATTCCAGAGTTGAACAGGCTAGAAGCAAGATCATGAACATGAGCTCAGGAGCATAGCGGTGTGCCTGGTGGAGTTGCTTTGCGGGTTGGGAACTGTGGAAAGTAACTTGGAACACATTCCATATGCCTGGTTTTCCCTGCTTGCAGGTCCCAGTTTCATGGCTGTCGAGATTTCAACTGCGTCTTCATGTAAAGTGTAGAGATGTGTGCACAGGTTGGAGGCAAGTTTGCCCATGACTGCAGCCCTTGTCCGAGGCATCATTGGTCTTACTGCCGATGACGAAGCCAACTTCGATCACATAGCCCAACAATGTTTGCTCTTATGCACGGACTACGTGCACCAGTTGGTTTTGTCATATGCAGGTAAAGATGTGCAAGGTGTGCATCGGAACGACCTTGTCAAGACCATGCGTGGCACCTTCCGTGAGAACCCGAAGTCGAGGATGTCTATTCGGGACATCGGTGCTTTAGAGGCATTCTCCGCAAAAGCGGGGCCGCTGCCCAAGGCCAAGAAGCATCGGGGTGAGAATGATGATGATGAGCGATCGTCCTGGACACAGTCCCAGTATTCCTACCCCAAGAGTGGAGGGAGTGGCGAGGGCGAAGAGGCTCTTTCGGACTTGTCGCTCGATGGAACTTGGAGAAGTTGAGGGCTTCTTTGACCATCTTTGACCAGTCCCAGTGTGCGCTGTATCTTTGAAGCTGTTCTGTGTGATGAATAGTATCACAACTACAAGGCTGCTAGCCTGCCAGAACATGACAAGTCGCTATGAGGTCCGTGACGGACTGGATCGGTGCAGATGCCGACCAGGGAATCCGACCAGTGCAGCCATTGCTGGAACGTATAGGCCGGCTTTGCATGCGTCGGTGGATGTTTGGCAGGTTGCTCTGTGGGGCTCGGGCCTTTGTCCTCCTCTTTTTCTTGTGGAGGTGGCTCCCAAACCGTGGTCAAGGTGGTGAGTACAGTGTACGACTGGCTGTTGCCTCGCCCGGAGTTCGGGCGTTTCTTCCTCGCCTGCCCCCTGCCGCTCAGCTAGTAGTGGAGCATGTATGTTCTGTTGAGTCAATTTTGTTGTATTTCGGTCTTTTGTCGCGGCATGGGACCTAAGGAAGATGGGAAGGATCCGGGCTGGAATCAGTGCCCCAGCTTGGTTCGGACTGGTTGAGAAACGAAAGAAAGAGGGGAAGTGGAAGAAATCGAAAGAAGCTAGAACATGGTGGAGCTGCATGAACAGGTAGATGTTTCAAGGTTGTGCAATTTCTATTTGGGCGCCGAAGGCTGTGGTGAAGGTTTGTGTGCTTAAAGGCCCTCAATACATCCCGGACAGCCTTCAGTCTGCAAGGACACAGGGCCTTTGAGCATCTGATACCCAACAGGCATCTCGAAGCATGCCGAACGTGATGGATAGATTCGGATAGAGCTGCCAGGTTCTTTCCTGACAGAGCTGCTGGAAAATTCAGCGAAAGCCGACCTGGACATGCTGTCCAACGTGCACTGGAACCTGGGCGTGTCAGACTTCCTCTTCACCGACTTCGCCGATGCTTTGCTTGAGGCGTTTCGGACTTGGGGATCACGGGGCAACTCGGCTTCACCAACGTTGTGACGTGTTGTCAATCTACAGTAGACCCTACAGCAGACCATCTGTCCACTCCCTGAGCTCGTAGGTGACTCCGCCATGGCGGAAATCCAGGCTGCCGCGTCTTGTAATATCTTGCAGTTCTACATGTAAGTCTCGAAGCTTTCGATTTGTGCTGCTACAGCCGGAGTGTTGCACCCGCTGGCACCGATTGCCACACCCTGTCCCCCTGAGGCCTCCATCGAGAAGCTGCGGCTTCCCATCACTGCAGGCCACCGGGCACGCCTCGCCGCGGCACAGACGGATCGGTGCCAACAGGAGACGGGGGGCTTCTAGGAAAACGGAGTAGAGCGGACCAAATTCACCATGGCCAGCCAAGGCTAGCTAGCCTTGCATGATCTCACATGATCTCGCAACACCTGTCAAGTTGAGAAAGGAGATTGTTTGGCTGATGGCGGACCTGGGCATTGCCGCAGAGGACTTTGCCCAGGCGCTGTCAGATTTGCTGACGCAGGATGCAAGACTGGAGGCTGGCGTGCCCGCGCATGATCATGCTGTCATTTGCTGTCGTTTGCTGTCCTTGAGCCTGTACGGCAGGCATGTTTAAACGAGCTCGAGAAGCGCAACGAAGAAGCCAACCTCAACGCCCTGCAGCAGTTTTCAAGGACAGCCGCAGGCGAATGAGATCCGTGTGGTGCCCAGCAGACACGTAACTGTGTGACAGTTCTTGCGCGGTTTTTGAGTCCGTTTAGCCAGGACGCTGTGGCAGGGCACCATTGATGCAGCCATGGAAGTGATGTTCACAGGCGAGCAGCCGCTGTTCCAACAAGACATCGGTGCCGTCACCCTCTTCTGTGAAAACGTGCGGCAAGTCTTGACAGAGACAGGCCGGGGGGTTTTCTGAATCACTCTGTGGATATGTGTGCCCTTTGACGAAGCACCTTAAGCACCTCCGGCCTGCAGGTTTAGAAGACAACGACGCCAAAGACCTGCAGGTTCTTATGGAGCACTCTGGCGAGCTCGTCCTGAACCGTGCTCGAAATGCCAGACTCGTCCAGCCACCTAGCATGGCGCATGACGTCGCTTGGTTTCAGAAAACGCTGCTGGACCTGTGCAAGGCCGACTCCTACCTCCAGTTCTTCGCCGAGAACCCCAAAATGGACAACTGCCTGCAGTCGATCTTCAAGTTGGTCATGAACGGTGGCACACCTCCAGCTGGTGCATCCTTCTCCAGCAAGCTTCGGAGTGCCCACCAAGACCTCTACCTAACCGATGCACGGTACAGTGCCTTCCTCGTGCAGGTTGACAAGGTGCTTCGAGCCATGTTTCCATGGCCAGTGCACCCAGCTGCAGTTGCGAACAGCAACATTCGATCCCTGGAGGGTTTCCGAACGGAAGTTCTGTGTGGAAGCACTTTGCGAAGCTCCCGGCTACAGGCTGTTGAAGGCATGCTGAACTCCAGTACAGATACCAGCAAGCAGAGGGTGGCACGAACTGCCCGGAAGAACCGAGTCATGTCGGCGATGCAGAGGTGCGCAGGGAAGCTCTTCAACGCCATCGCCTCAGACAACCGAGTTTCCGTCTTCTTTCGAAACACTGACCCGGCATGCAAAGATCGCAAAGCCAAGTATTTGGGCTGTGCGATGGGAGGAACACTGCCGCCGGTCACCCAGAGCACTCCTGCGGCCACGCCGGCCGGGACCGGCACAGCAAGTCCATCCTCCTTCTCGTCAAACAGCACAGTTCCCATGTCGCCAGCTTCTTCCCTCAAACAGCAGCACAACCTCTTCCGCATCTCGGATTACCACTTTGATGTGTTTTTAGACCACGTGCGGACGGCTTTGGGTGGCGAGGATCCGGAAGCTGCAGACCTCGCACCGGCACAGCTTGAGAATTTGAGGCAACACGTGGTGCTCACGTCCCGTGCCTCGCAGTGTCCGGTTTCTGGGTCCACCGCATCGAATGGTCGAGCCTGCCCCTTCGCCCGGCGAGCAACGAATGGCAGTGCCCCGCTCTTGGACAGAGTGGGTGGATCAGAGGAGATCGAGAAGATTCTAGCCCACATGGAGCGGGAGGCCGGATCATGGGGTCATGTTGCAAACCAGAAAATCTTGCTTAAGATCTTCGAAGATCATGTGGTAGCTAGGGTTCTGTCCTGATTGTTGTGGCAGTTTCAGGCCGCGTCCTCGTCAATCCTGGTGCCTTTCCTTCAGAACCAGGATCGTCTACCATGTCGGCTGGGGATTCGGAATCTGCTGGCCACAGCGGCCGCAGGTGACAAGCTTCCTGAAGTAGATCCGCAGCGTTTGCAAGCAGCGCACGCCAGCTTGAAAATGCTGCCTGAGCATTGTGAGAAGTGGCTGAGCTGCTTCAATAAAAGCATGGTGGCGCACATTCTTGCGCCGGAGGTGGCAGAAAAGCTGCAGACCTGCTTTCAGACGCTAGTGTCGTCCATGGTGTCAAGCACAGAGTCGAAGACTGAAGAGGACGCGGAGGATGACAAGTACGCAGACGCAGAAGACAAGTCTGCAGTCGATTGGGGTCGGCTTCAGGGCTTGATCGATGAACTCGAGGGCGAAAAGGGCCTGAGCAAGTTGATCGAGACCTGGTACCATTGCATCAGTGAGGACTCCACCATCAATGTGTTCTTCACTGGCACCCGGCCTCAAGTCATGATGTTCCAAACCCGGTTTTGGAAGAAGGTCCTCCGTTCAGGCCTGGAACCTGACGGCCGCAGGCAGCTACAGCTCATCAGCGTCCACCAGCATCTCCGCATCACGCACAACCATTTCGATGCGTTTGTGCGGTGTCTCATGCTGGCGTGCGATCAGCTGAACCTAAGTCAGAACTCCTCGAACAACATGCGAGCAGCCGTGGAGTGTTTCCGGCAACAGATTGTTACAGAAGTCTGAGGGGAAGCTTTTTCTTTAAAGGGCCCCAGATGCTATCAATGTTCCGCCTGGGTGCCAGGATAATGCATCACCGGCTGCTGCTTCGGGTACTCGCTCTAGCGCTCTAGCTCACTGTAGCTGGCAGCCGGCTGATCCGTCTGATGTTCGTCTTGTGTTGCATGCCGAGACATTCTGCAGTGATCTAATCCACAGTCCCACAGCTGAAAGCTCTTGTACGTACATGAGTCGGCATGGGGGCATTTTCCTGCTGCTGCATCCATGCCTCTAGGTCGTCGGGTGATGTGTTGCCCAGACACTCGCGTGCATTTTAAAAAGTCCGTAATTTCGAGAGCGAGTGGGCGTGCTGTGATGCACTGTGTTGCGCTGTGCTCCTCCTGCATTCTCTGGGACATGTTCAGACCACAAGTTCTCGAGGTGTCCGGGGCGCGGTTGACAGTCCTGCGTTTGGTGCTGAGCAGTCGTTTCGTTGAAGTCAGGCCATCCAAAGCCGCATGTGATATCATATGGTCACAGCTTGCAGGAGTGTGGGCGCGCAAATACGGCCTCCAGAACAAGGCAGGATTGTCAGCGCATCGACGGCAAGCCATGCTTTGGTGGTTTGCTTCACTGTGTACGCGCGAGGGCTCCAAACCCCCGAGAAGGCAGAGATCAAAGTGTTTCATTTCTCTTTGCTGAGATGGCCACATTGCCACAGATGATTCAGGTTATGTTATCATATGTCCACATGTGGACAATCTCCGGCTCCTGGGTATCGTCATAAGCTTGTGGCAGGTTACTGCGGCAACAGGGAAGCGCCAGAGACTCGCTCGAGTGTCCATATTCCGTCAGCACGCATGACACATGCGAAGCTGCGTTTGGGCGAGCTAATCTGGCATTTGCAGCATGCAGGCGGGAACTTTCAAGAAGTTACGTCGCTTGATTGCATTCGTGTCGCGTGGAGGGCGGCTAGAAAGGCTAGAAATTCCTTTTGTGCTGCTCGTCTTGAATTCAAGCCACGCGCGATTACTTTCTCCGTGCAGTGCGACGTTGCTGCCCTGCACTCTGTACTTCTTCCGGTGCTTGAACAGTTTTTTAACGTTTTGTTGTCCCCAGGTCGCCTCGAAAATGCCAACGGGTTGCGAAGGAGCCAGTGCTCATGCAATGCAATGTTGTCGAGATGTGCTTTGGTGATGTTCAGTGTGACGAGTTCACAACTGCGGAATATTCTGCAACTGCCAACGATGAGGGCCGCTGCGATCAAAAACTGTTTCTGTGATTATGGCAGTGGTCGCGGCAAGATGTAGCAAGCTGTGCAGGAGCCGAGATTCCAAGCCGGGTACTTCTTTCTTCCTCACTTATAGTGGCTTCCCTCCTCCCCCCACCATAACTTTTTGCCGCTAGGCCGGGCCGCGAGCATCTCCCGAGTTGGGGTCTTAACGAAACAAGATGCACCTTTGCAGTCTTGTTATCACACGGCCCGACCTGTCAGATCGATGTTTGCACCTGTAAATCGCCGTCTCTGTGTCAGAGGCCTGCCCAAGCGGCCTCGGCAAAGGCAAGGGTCACAACATGCTGCAACATGCTGCAACCTGCCGCAGCAGGACCAGCAGACTCTTCTGCAGAAGCTCGTGGTTGCGAAACTAGCAGTTGAACCGCGGCGTTGTTCCCCAAGCAGCTGAAACGCTGCTTCCACTTTAGGAGACTACGTTGAGGTTAAAACGCTTTAGATCCCTTTGACGCAGCGGCGTGCGTCTGTGTTCACGGAGCCTCGGCATTGATGACCCCTCTCGAAACTGTCAAATGCGATTTGGAATGGGCGCGGCGATGCGCGGCGCCTAGGCGAGAGGCATAGAATCAAAAAAAAAAAATCGCCAAAAAAGTCATATCGCTATTTAATTCCACTCCCTATCCCGTGGGCCTAGACACTGATCTTGGGGTGACGCTGATCTTGGGGTGGTCTTGCCGTCCTTTGGTCATGGCTTCACATTGTTTCTGGGAACTTTTTGGGCTGGTGGCTAGCTGACGCTCTGCAGATGCATGCCTGAACGGTTGTTCCACTTCTCAATCCTAGGTCCTAAGCCGTGGTCCTAAGCCATGAAAGGGGCCCTCACAGTCGAGCCACTTCATGGCCTGGTGTCTACGAAGAGAAAGCAGCTGCCAGGTATCCAGCGACACAAGCTCTCACAGTGCTGGCAGTGTCAAAGAACTGAAGGCACAGCTTGCACCAGACACAGACCAGATATGTTCTAAGCACTTCGGTAAACTGAGCAATGGTCACAGTCAAAAGGCAGTGCGAGAAGCTTCGCTTCCTGACGTTGGCTTGCAGCCGTCGTAGGTCTTGGATGCCACTTGTCCAAACCCGGCTTTCATAGATCGGCATGGACTCGTATACCGAAGCCTCGGGCCACCGCACCTCCCTTTGACCAGTCGACACCAAAGTGTTGACCCTATCTACGCATGAAGTCTGACAGTCCAAAATCCCGAGAGCCACTACTGTGTGATGGGCACCGTGTCAGCGCCGTCAGCACGGGCAGCAGTCTGAAAGAAGAGTCCCCTGGTGTGCAGCTGGGATTGAGCAAAGTGAGCATCCTGTTTGGAACGGTCATCTGTAAGGTAGCCCATGCCGGAGCTGATGGAGAGGGACCAAGAGGCCGGAATGCAAATCATGCAAGAGTCCGTGACGGCAACGAGTGCAGGAGCAGAGTCTCCTGGGTGCAGAAACCTATGAAGGCAGACCTCGGCCTTGTGACATACTTGTATCCTGTGCAGCCTCTCCTGTGTCCTGCCCGAAGCATGCCGTGGCATCGCAGTTCCTGAGACCATGCTGCTCTTCAGGGCCTTCGGCACGGAGCGTAACGGGCGTAAGGTGGTCCAGAAGCAGGCAAGGGGTGTGCGATCGACGAAGGAAATTTGCTCGGTCAGGTGCCCTGCGTGCCCATCAGTTAGCCTGTCCAACCGTGCAGGAGCTTGGCGTACTACTTGCCCCTTTCGGGTGTCATGATGGGTCTGCTCGTGCTGTGCATTCGGCGATCAGCTTCTCTTGTACCTTGGATCAGAAGCTATGAAACCATGTAGGCATTGCGAGGCGGCCAATGATGGCCAATGTAGACAGGCTTGAGCAGAAGGTCACAAGACAGTGGGCTTGCGCAACATCTGCAGGGCCCTCTTGATGAGTTCAGGGAAGTGACCTTGCCCTCCCAGGGTTTTGCACTCTGCCTGGGGGGGGAGGGTGCCACCTTCACAGTTGGTGCGCCCTATCGCCGGAGAAGCACTCTAATCCAAGCTCCCGAAAATCCCAAAAAGCATCCGCAAGAGGCACGAGCGCAACTAGCCCAGAGACTTTGGCCTTGCCAGGGGAAGCTGCAAACAACGCGGGGTTCGCAACCCGAGCAGCCACGTGGCAAAGTGAACGATCCTTTCGGACACTTTTTGTATGTTTTTGTTGTGTGTTTCGGTATGTCTCGGAGTATCTCGCAGCTCCTGTGAACCTCACGCTTGAACACTGCTGTGGAACTTTCTGTTTGTCTGCATGTGTAAGTTTGTGTTGTTCGCTTGTTTGCTTTGTTTACTTGTTTGCTTTGTTTGTTTGTTTGCTTGCTTGCTTGCTTTGTTTGTTGTTTGTTGTTTTTTTGTTTGTTCGTTTGTTCGTTTGTTTGTTTGTTTGTTTATTTGTTTGTTGGTTTATTTGTTTGTTTGGTTGCTTGTTTGTTTGTTCGTTCGTTTGTTTGTTCGTTTGTTTGGTCGTTTGTGTGTGTAAGTATCTCGGTGGCTTATAAGTTGCTTAATCTTGTGCAGAGGACAAGGGGTTGGGATATGTTGGGGAGTTTGGAGCAGGGGGCGTCTGGGGCCTGGGGCATGAAGAGGTCGGGTGCCGACGAAAGCACCACTGGCTCACTTGTGACATATGCTGCGTTTGGTTTCCATCCCGTGCTGTTTGCTGTGCAGCCTTGCTGCGCAGCCCCAAAACACCCCACCAAGCAGATCAACCACATGTGCCTTGGATATGTTCTGTGCTTTGGATGGGGCTCTGCGTGATGCCTCTTCCTCTGCACTATTGCTGCAACCTGCTATCCTGCGTTCAGGAAGTATATAACGCCACCAGCCCCCAGCAAAGTGACGGACTACAACGGCGTCGAGTGGCCTCCGATGCACCTTGACTGTTCGGGTCGCAGAACTTGCTTTCATGTCGCAGTAGGACGAAGCTGAAGGCATGCCCGGGCTGTCGGTCATGCGCAGCTCAGGACAGTGCCTGGACATGAGAAGATGCATTTCTTCATCATAGGTGAAGGCCTCAGAAGGCCTCAGAAGGCCTCAGGACCTTGGCCCGGGTGTCAGTCGCATGCCGTTGCCATGAGGCGACTGGGGTGGACTTGATGGCTTCATTGACCCTCCGATCGGCGGAAAGACCTCTTTTGCACCGGCAGTGCGCTGTAGACGCGCTCTTGAACCTCAACAGATCGCAATGTTTTTTAAAATGTTGTTAAATGTCGTGAACCTGCAGGATGGTTATGTACTCGGGTGGTGAGAAACCAGGGCCGCACGTCTTCGCTCACCGACCGTCTGGATGTACGGACGGGGAGATGCGACCTAGCATGCAGAAGGGCTGATGTGGTTCACGTGCACTGGGTCATGGCTGTCCAGGTTTAACCTTCAGGCTTGAGGCTTCTGTTGCCCAGGTCGCTCTGCTTCAATGCCCGCGGCGCTCACAGTTGCGCGCCTAACTGTGGCTACAACGATACTGTGGACCATGATCCGCAGTATCTGGTGGCCGATCAGATGAAGTTTGCACCTCAGTGTTTTAACGAAATGCCTAGCGACCTAGTGCTTCGCTTGCTGCTTGGGCTCTGCCAAGGCTGCGGGCAAAAAAGACTCCTCCAAAGTTCATTCTGAACGTCCGAGCCTGAGCATGCCGGTGCCTCTCGGCAGTTGCAAGTCTAAACGCTCGCGCCGCTCGCGCATCAGTTGTCGTAGTGTGGCCTGGCCTGTGCATAGATTTGTGCTCCTGCGAGCCCTGCCTTCATACAGCGTGGCACAGCTGTTTTCAGGGCAGGGGCAAGCTGCAGCGCTTCCATTGAGCGTACTATCTACCCTGGTATTGAACTGCATTGGGTTGTGTGGACATGGTTGAGACTCTTGACCACTCTCGAGTTCACCCAGCATCCCCCGCAGCTTCAGGTTGGTGATAACTTCTATTGGGGCGGTGTCCCGATTACGTGTGGGACGCAGCCTATGGCAGGTGTGCACTGGACCACGGCCCATATGCGCCATGGAGGCATTTGTGCCGGTATTACGGTATTGGTTCAAGGAGTCGATGGAAGTCCCTGATGAACAATTCAAGTGGATTGTCTCTTTGGTGCTTAGGTTCGACACGATCTTCAGGCAGATCTACAACAGCCATGAGCTCCAGAACGTTGTGTGGCTCTCGGTGCTGGGGACTCCCGGACGGATTACAGTGATGGCGGTATTTGAGGTGCCTTCTGTTCTCCGATTTTTAGGGCCCATTGCACGTTACTAAAAAAGCGTCATCGCCGTCATCTCAGGAACCATGACTATGGTGGTTGGAGTTTCACATCCGGCTGGGACCAGCAGAGCCTTGCCGTGTTGAGCGGGAGGACAGTTAACTTTGCCGAAAAAAGGTTTCAGGGTACAGTGCCAGGGCCTTCGGGCAAAAGATGGAACATTGTCCAAACCGCTGAAACCAACCGTTAAAATGTGGGAATTCTTCAGAGTTCATGCTCCGGTCTGAGGATTGCCTTCACCTGGCACGACCCAAGGCCACTGCTTGCTATGCCTGCGAACATGAAAGCGGTATATAGCAGTATGAAAGCAAATTAGGCAGATCCCAAAACAATCATCACTTGGAGCGTGCTGAACATCATCGGATGTGCCAGTTATGTCCGTTGCTCGTCATGGTATGTCACAGTTCGCTGGAGGAGAGAGTGGGCCGGAAGGGGTCTTCACAAAGAGAGCTCCGGTCCTTGCCCAGAGATCGAGGGGTAGCCCCAGAGGGCACTTGCACAGCCTGCAGATGCGATTGGGCCACCCAGACATGTAGGGAGCCTGTTTTACAGTTTGTCTTGATGCCTCATGGTACCTACTCTCCAGGGAGAAAAACAAGACCAGTACAGGACGGCCAGGGTGTAAGATTTGGTTGTGAGTTAGCTGCAACAGCAGTGGACAGGTGGAGGCTGCCAGCACAGTACTGGAAGCAGCATGCTCCTGGACAGAAGTTTGTTCGAGCGGACTGGGATGAGCCGGGTAAGCCTTCCTAAGTGAAAGACCTGTATTTCCCGTTAAGACATTGCGCGACATCGTATGACGTTGCATGACATTGCGGGCCGCCTTTGAAGCAGCCAAGGTTGGATTTCCAGACCAAGACTTCACGATAGATATTTTGCTGACGGATTCCAATGCTGAGGTGCTGCCAGGGGCGCTGCATGCAGATCAGAGTAGAGACCGTAGATCAGAGTATTGGGGCCTCTGACTTGTCAGGATGCAGTAGATCCAGCAGCAAGGCCGACAACGAAACTCGAACGAAAGTGTGGCCCAAGTGGAGTAGGCCTCGGCTTGCCACTAGGGTTTACTTGGTCGGTCTCGCTCGGCCTTCTCGGCTGAGATCATGCGCAGCCGCCGAGGAATATCTGTGGTTGTCAGCATAATTCTCCCGGGGCCAGCTGTGCCAGCGTGGGTGGGCCAAAATCCCTCGCTGACTGTTGGGAACTCGGACAAGTTTCTCTTGGGAGCGAAATGGAGCGAAGAGGGTGCACAAAATGATGTCAAGGAGTGGGAGCCTAGTGGGCATCATGTGCTTTGTAGGACGCAAGCCAAGGTCCAATGTACTTCGCGAAGTTATGGCAGGACCAGTCCCGAGTCCCTGAGTACGCCGAAGAGAAGACCGAGAGTTCCTCAGTACTGCTCAGCTTAGGCTTCATTGCCGAGTGCCAGCAGCTGTGCGGCAGAAACACACGTTGCACAGATTCAAGCTGTTTCCGTAGCCACGGGGCAGGAGCAGATGGTCTGGGTCGAGAAGCAGCTCAAGGCGTCGGAGGCTACGTGGCAGGTGATTGCCGCCAGGCCTCAGAAGTAAACTCTGTGTAAGTTTCGGGTTTCGTTGGATTACTGGGGGGATTGAAGGCTTTCCTGGGCTTGGTAGCTTGCTTGTGCTGAGTGTGGGCACCACCTTTGAAGAAGCTTCAGGGGCTTGAAGGTGGGTCCCCAGGGTGCCAGGAGCCGTTTGAAAAGAGCAGCTTCATGTCATGTTGACATTTTGCGAATGTAAGTTCAGAAGATGTCCTTTTGGGCAGCAAGGTGACTCACTTCCCCTGCGGACACCAGGCCGTAGGATTGCGAAAGGAATGGGTTGCATCACGCACCCTGTGTTGGACTGCATCATTCGCATCACAGAGAGATGTGCATGCCAACATCCCCTGTCAGCCTGCGTATTACAACCATTTGCTGCTTGCCTGATCTTGTCGGTTCATGTTTGTAACGTAAATAGCATCAAGCAGGGTATCGGGTGTAATTAGGTGTGGTGCAGTCTCTTCATTCGCTCCCACGACATGTGAGAGATCCCGCTCGCATGACGATGTGCTGAGCTGCAAAGTTGAGGCATGTGGAGCTGGGCCTTGACTTTCTGGTCACTGGGCACACTCACATTCAGGAGGTGAATCAGCTGGGAGGCACGAAGAACCGACGCTTGTTTGAGCTCCATTAGCGGGTGCTTGTATGCAAGGCCTGCTGTGCGTCATCTCAGGCGCTTGGGCTGCAAATGGTTTCGATAAGCTGCTACTGCTACGGGGTTTGCAACGAAAAATCGTTGAGTTTGCCCAAATGGACCCGGTAATTTGCTGGGCTGGATCTGTTCTCCTGGAGCCACGCATGATTCAATAGCTGATGCCCTAAGCAGTGGGGGACCGATTCACTAAGAGAAGCAAATTGGCGCCATTTCCGCCTGGCCCAGGGGGCGGCGGCGGCATCTTGTCGGAGGTGGCTCCCCAGGGAGATAAGAGCAACAGCGTCTCGACCAGACTATCTGTGCCTGTTGGGTAAGCAAGGGCAAGCTCTTCGCCTTGGTGAGGTTATGGTTTCTACGATGCCGCCATCAACAGGACGTTCGGGTCAGAGCTTGGCGAGGGAGGCATTGCAAGAGCTGTCGTCAGATGCCGAAGCTCTTTGCGCACGCCAGGACGCACCTGGTGGTGGAGTCTGTCAACTTCTTTGGCGGCATGCTTAGCAAAGTAGCGGGGAAAGAGTAAGAGCAAGAGAGAGAGAGAGAGAGATCGAGAGAGAGAGAGAGACAGACCCTTCATGCCCCGTAGAAGAAGAAGAGGGAGAAGAAAGAAGAAAGAAGAAAGAAGAAAGAAGAAAGAAGAAAGAAGAAAGAAGAAAGAAGAAAGAAGAAAGAAGAAAGAAGAAAGAAGAAAGAAGAAAGAAGAAAGAAGAAAGAAGAAAGAAGAAAGAAGAAAGATGAAAGATGAAAGATGAAAGATGAAAGATGAAAGATGAAAGATGAAAGATGAAAGATGAAAGATGAAAGATGAAAGATGAAAGATGAACGAAGAGAAGAAAGAAGAAAGAATAAAGAAGGAAGAAGAACGAAGAAAGAAGGAAGAAGGAAGAAGGAAGAAGGAAGAAGGAAGAAGGAAGAAGGAAGAAGGAAGAAGGAAGAAGGAAGAAGGAAGAAGGAAGAAGGAAGAAGGAAGAAGAAAGAAGAAAGAAGAAAGAAGAAAGAAGAAAGAAGGAAGAAGGAAGAAGAAAGAAGGAAGAAGGAAGAAGGAAGAAGGAAGAAGGAAGAAGGAAGAAGGAAGAAGGAAGAAGGAAGAAGGAAGAAGAAAGAATAAAGAAGAAAGAAGAAAGAAGAAAGAAGAAAGAATAAGTCCTCTTCTCGCCTTTCCATGTCGTTCAATCATCGAAAAAAGCTCGAAACAATCATCAGATGGAGACGAATGCAGTGCGCGTGTTTTGCCGCACCCTCAAAGTGCCTTGCGGCCCGGGTGGGCCCCGTGCTTGCTCCGGCTGAGGCGGGAGGGGTTCGCAAGCTTGGCAAGGTCCGTGCGGCGAGTTGGCACTTCGCCGTCGTAGGGCTTCACGGCGACGGTTCTCCGAGCAGCATGATGTGTTGGATGACGACGAGCAGCTTGCGCAGAACGGCGGGCTGGCTGCTGGAGCGCATCAGGGGGCTTTGGACAGTCCTGGTGATGGTGCGTGGTGGCGCGGCGGTTTTGACGCTGCCAGTCGGAGAAATCGACCTCAGCTTCCCTTGCTCTGCCCTACCAGGGACACCTTCGACCCAGAGTCCGTGATTTTGGCAAGAAGCAATGCTTGGACCAGGACTTTCAAGTTCTACTGGAAACAGCCCAACTGCTGCAGGGTGACGCCTGAGTAGCCCGAAGCCGACCACGCGACGCCGGGGCCTCCGCAAGGGGGGCCGGCCTCTTCGCCAGCGTCGAGAAGAAGAAAGAGAACGTTTCAGGGGAAAGTTGAAGGAGGTCATCGAGTGCCGGTCGGGGGGAGCATGCTTCGAGGATGGGAGACGTGGTTTCGCTGCAGTTCAAGAGTCGCCGCTCCATGGACTCGGGGGTCAAAGTCTATTCTGGATCCCACACGGGGGTGGGGCTGATATCCGAGTATCCAGCCGCCGCAACATCTTGGGGGCGCACCGAGAGCGCGGGGTCTTACCCATGAAAGAAAGAAAGAAAGAAAGAGAGAGGCAAAGCGAGAGGCACAGCACTTCTTCCCACCCCTTACCAAGACCAGTCTCCACAACAAGGCGCGCAAACTGTATGGGGGGTACTGCCCCTCAGGCCCCATGAGAGAAAGAGAGAGAGAGAGAGAGGCGGACTTCGCGCGCCCTTTGGGGCAGCCTTCCCTTCGGGGGGGTTAAGCGTGCAGGAGAGAGAGAGAGAGAGAGAGACCTCTTTCAGTGCCGGTTTCACTCCAACAAACCAAGTGGAGCGGCAACCCCTACGGTCCTTCTTCTAGCCCACCGTGTGCCTTGGTTTCGTTTAGGTAGGAGGTCCTTGCCGTAGCGAGTGGAACCCACACAACGAACTCACTTGAGGTAACACTTATAAGTGTCGCCACACCACAACATCGGTGCAGGGGCAAAGGGGGTTTGCAGTGTCTGGCATGAGGGCCGTATTGCGCGGCGCATTGTACCATTTCATGACCAAAGCAGGGAAAGGTCGGTGAAAACACCACCAGGAGCCGTTGCAATGTCCACAGAAGTGTGTGTGTGTGTGTGTGGGACTAGTTGGACTTAACGGACCTTGACTTTAGCGTTGATGAACAGCCCGCCACATTAGAAGAGTGAGAGAGAGGGGAACCACTTTGCCGGCACAGCTAGGTCATTCACGAAAGTGCGTAGAAGAAGAAGAAGCAGAACAATAAGTAACAGAAGAAGAAGAAGATGAAGAAGAAGAAGAAGAAGATGAGCAAAAGAAGAGAAGTCTTCGCACTTGTGTGTGTGAGCTTGAGTTTTTGCGCGTGTGAGTTTGTTGGCCAGGTCACTCTTTGGGCGTGTGGACGGCTGCTCCTGTGCCAGGGACGGTACGGGAGCCAGCTCCGAAGCCACCACCAGAGCCAGCCCGGGTGTCAACACCGAAGCCGAAACAGGAGCCCACACAGGAGCCGAAATCGGAGCCCACACCGGCGAAGAAAGCGGAGCCCCATGTAGCTCTGACCCAACCCAAGCCCGAAGCCGAGGCTCCTGCTTGCTTGTTCTTCGTTGCAGTTGCCAAGCTCCTGCGAGTGTTCGGGATTTCTTATCCGTGTTCTGCGAGGCGGCTCCACAGCATTTGAGTTCCTTAGCTGCAGCAGCCGGCCCCGGCAAACCACCAAAGCCACCAAAAGAGCAGCTTGCCTGGAATGAGTGCTGGTGGAATTGCAGGCCACCATCGTCAATACAGTTCTATCTGTTCTATCCCGCAGTTCCAACAGCTGACCAAAGTGCACGCGGACCCTGCCCCAACTTCAACATGTTTTACAACGCGTACTGCCGCGGCGTACCAAAATTGGCTCGCGATTCACGCCCCAATTGGTGTGGTAGCTTTTATTAAAGTCCCCCAGCGGTTTTCGGGACTTTTCTCTGGGTTCTCATAGACATTCCAACAGACTTTTTGTGTGCTTCTGCGGCGACGGGGGGAGGCGAGGCAAGGATTCCTAGAGAGTTCGAGCGTGTCAGAAACTTCCCCCAAAGCATTCGGAAAAGGTGTGCGTGGTGCCACCTGCTGCGGTGACGAGCTGCGCGGTGCTGTGACATGTCGACGAATGTCGCTTTTTCTGCACGGCGCACACCGACTCAGCTTCTGGGCTTTCAGATTCAGTTGTTGTCTGGGCGTCGAAGTTGGCTCCTTTCTGCCCCCGTTGTTGACCTTGAGGTCGAGAGCTCATCAGCACTTACTGAGAGCCTGTCTTGTCGAAGATTTAGTATTCTAGAATTACGGCGCTGCGCTGTCTTGCAGACGCTGGTGGCAGAGGCAGAGAAGAAGCAGAGTGACTGCAACGGATGCACAGGGATGTGCAGAGCATACCGGGTTTGAGCTTTTTCTGTGCAATTGTCAGCCGGAAAGCCGGAAGTTAGCGCTGTTCTCAGTTGTGCAATCGACGGCACTTGCCGAAGTGCAGTGCGCTTTCGACATCTTTCGTCCAGCGAGAGGCATCAGTTGAAGACCGATGTGCTCGGAGAAATCCCATGATTGAGTCATCGATAGCCCACGTGTTCCATCAAGGTGCCTTGGTCCAATGTAGATCCCTTGTTTAAGTCGGCGAGCTTGAGGCACTCCTCGAGCAGCACGGCGTGAACTTTGCCGGGTGTGTGGAGAAGTCGGAGCTTAGGGCTGCTTGATTGCACTTGGGCTGTCACCTCAAGCCCTACACTTGGCTACACGACCCCCAGCAGCAAGCCCATCAAACCCAGCAAGCCAGCGAGGCACTACACGACCCTGGGGCCCATAGAACAAAGACGCAACAAGACCCAGAGAGCGATGCGCTTCATGATAGGAGCTTTGGGAAGTCTTCTTGGAGCTTTGCCGGCAACCTCTGGCTACGCTGCAGGCGGACTAAGCTCCTGATGGGTTATCCTGGAAT